TCCTTATGTAGACACCATACCCATTTGGATCTGTGTAAATTACAGTCATGTCAGTCACATTTTCTGATTTATATCATCTTCTAATCGCTTTGACTGTCTACAGCTGTATTCGTTTCCTGAGACTGCGCTAACAAATTTCCACAACCTCTGTGGCTTAAAACAACACTCATTTAATTCTCACAGTTCTGGAGGCTAGAACTCTGAAGTCAAGGCATAATCCAGGCCATGCTCTCTCTGAGGGTTCTAGACGAGAATTTTTCCTTGTCTCTTTTAGTTTGTGTTGGCTGTGGGCATCCCTTGACTTCACTGACTTGTGACCTCTTCACTGCAATTTCTGCCTCCGTCTTCACATCACCTTCTCCACTTTTGTCGGTGTCTTTTCTCCTGTTTCTTAGAAGGACACTTGTTATTGGATTTAGGGCCCATCTGGGTAATCTAGGATGATCACATCTCAAGATCCTTTCCTTAGTTCATTTGTGTTGCTGTAAAGAAATACCTGAGGCTGGGGAATTCATTAAGAGGTTTATTTGGCTCATAGTTCTGAAGGTTGTACAAGAAGCATAGTGCTGGCATCTGTATCTGGTAAGAGCCTCAGACTACTTCTATTTATGGTGACAGGCAGAGGGGAGCAGACATTACAGGGAGAGAAAGGAGAGGAGAGACAGGAGGAGGTGCTAGTCTCTTTTCAACAACCAGTTATCCCAGATACGAATAGTGAGGACTCACTCCTGCACACCAAGCCATTTATGAGGGATCTGCTTCCACATCCCAGACACCTTCCACCAGGTCCCACCTCAACACTGGACATAAATTTTAACATGAGACTTGGCATGGCCAAATAAACCATATCTAAACCATAGAAGTCCTTAAAATAAGTACATCTGTAATGAGACTTTTTCAGGTAATGTAATATTCACATGTTCCAGGGATTTGAACATGAATATATTTTGGTGGTGGGGGAGAGGGCAGAGCACCATTCAAGCTACTACAATAGCAACAGTAGTTGTACTAAATAAATGTGCAATGAATTAGGTTGGCTCTGCCAAAATATTTTTAAGTTAATAAACATATTGTATAATGAAATATTCATAAGGATGGTGGAATATTTACTTTTGCAGCCCTCAAATTTTGCATTTCTGGATGAAAAAGTGATTATAAAATATAATGATGAAATCATAGTCTATTCAATGAAAAAGGATAGATATCATACATAAAGCCTAAAGATATTTTCAAAACCTCAGCCAATACAGTTCAGTAAGGATGGAGCTAACTTTGATTTCAGTGGAAACTCTGTGTGTTCTAAGAAGTGAGTTATGGGTAAAAATTTAGGCAGCAACTATAATTTATATTACTTTAAACTTATATATGCTTATATATATATATATTTTTAATTCTGGAGAGAGGTAAAACAGATAAGCAATATTTTAAGCACATTATAAAGTCATTCCTTTTTATTTTAAAGAAGCAAAAGTTATATTCACAAATTTATTCTTAAATATTTTAACATAGTTTTATAATTACTTGATGTTATACAGTTTGTCCAACTTTAATTCTAGATTTATTTATTTATAAAAGCAATAAAATATACAAAACATGAGATTACAAAAAACTAAAATACACTTATTTAATCCAGTCAGTTTAGTTAGAGTAACAGCATTCTAAAACATAAAATTAAACCTTACTTTATTTTCATTTCAGTATTATCAGTTATTAGCAGATAAAATCAACTCATTATGGATTATCTATTTTGAATGAACAACAAATATTTACTGTAGTCGATAAAAACAATGATTTGTCCAAATTCGTTTTAGCAATTTGGAAGCCAAATTTTAATTTTGTTATTTCGAACACATGAACTTTTAAACTTTTACTATTTAAATTTTTGTTTTAATGCTAATTTTAACCTGTAAAACTTGTTGTTAAGTGAATATACTTTTCATACTTTGAAAATTTTATTTAAAGAGGATAGTGATAAAGGGTGAATTAGAATGTGCTTTGAAACAAGTCTAAGCTCTTTCCAGATTCAGGTAACAAGAGCCAAGTGTCTCAGTGTGATATAGAAATGACCCCTGGGAAATCATCATGTTTAGTAACTTAATGGATAGAACAGAAAATGCCAGTAGATTGCTGTGAAAAATATGTCAAGGAAACATTTTTACAGAATTTATTTCATTTTATTTACCAGTGAACTGGATACTCAATAAATTTGTGTATTTCTATTGCTCAGTGTTACAGCACTGCCAACTTTTCTACCCCATTATTGATATAAGTTGAGAATAGCCTTTCTGTTCACCATCTGTCATGAAAGAGTCAAGATTTTCAAGTCGACACAGGTTATTTACATGATTTTAAATATTTTGGCTATTGCACATTTCATATCACTTCTGTCATAGAGATACGGAGTCTTTCACAATGACACATCTGGCTTCATTGTTTTTCTGGCTTCTTATCACATGACTGTCCATCATTATTTTTATTTGTTATTTAAATGTTTCTAGTTTATTTAATGTATTTTAGGGGTGTCTAAAATCCACACAGAAAAGTGGAATATATATTGGTACAAACATATACATATATATATAAAATTAGAAAGTTACTATTTATTTTAGCCTGGCATAGTAGCTAACAGCTGTAATCCCAACACTTTTGAAGGCCTAAGCAGAAGGATCACTTGGGCCCAGGATTTTGAGACTAGCCTGGGCAACAAGGTGAGACCCTATCTCTACAAAAAAAAAAAAAAAGAAAAAAAGAAAAAAATAATTATCCGGGGCATGGTGGCATGTGCCTGTAGTCCTAGCTACTTGGGAGACTGAAGCTGGAGGATTGCTTGTGCCTGGGAGATCAAAGCTATGGTGAGCTGTGATTGCATCACTGTGCTCCAGTCTGGGCAACAGAGCAAGACTCTATCTCAAAAAGAAAAAAAAAAAGTTACTATTTTAGTTATCAAGGATGCTTACAGGAAACATTACATTTAAAAATTATACAAAAACAGCATTTCGTTTTTAGGTCATGTGGCTTTTTTTTTTTTTTTAATATTGGCCTTGGGCCAATTAACTTATGCTTATAAGTGGGCATAATTGAAAGAAAATTTTAAGAACTATTTTGAGATCACTAATACATTACTTCAAAGTGGGTGGAGCAGAAGACTTTGAAGGATAATGACATCACAGTCATAAGGAGCCTGCTGAATATCTGAGTTAATTGGAACTCAAGCAGAGAAGGGATGAACAGGTTGTACGTATACCTAGATATGGAAAATAATTGGATAGTGCCTAAGAATGGGCATTTGATAGGCATGAAAATTTTATAATTTTTAAAAAGTGAAATAAATTTTTATTTAAATAAAGAAAAGGCTAGATATCAATGACATGGAACTATATTATAAAAATGTTAATTATCTTGATGGCAGAAATTCAATTTTATTTTTAATCTACATTTGATGAGAATTAAGGAAAAGTAAATAATATCTGTGCTAATTATAATCAGAGTAGACAATGTTCAAAATATTTTAATTTTAAAATTGGCTGTGTCCTGATTTTAGTTTTGAGGGATATACAGTGGACATTATTCCCTAAAGTATATGAGAGTAAATTTGACTAACTATAAATCATAGTTTTTACTTGGAAACTGACAACAACTTTCTAATGAAAAAATTAAATTAATTCTGATTATGTTGGTTAAGTTTGTTCACTAAATGACCAATAAATGTTGTAAACATTCTTCACTTAGGTGAAGTTGTATTTGAAGTTTTGCTTTCACTAGCTTTTTAAGAATAAAAGTAATACAAGTACAAAACAACAAAAGTGGAGACCCCTGTGGGACAAATAGGTAAATCAAACGCTGTTTTCTAATAATAGAATCAGTACCTGCAAGAATCGTTGATTGCTAAGGATTGGCAAAAGCATATAGTAGTCCAAAATTTTTTTTTTAAATGTTTCTACAGATGTGATATATACCTTTGTTACTTAAAATGTTGCCTCTCTTCAGATATAGTTAATAGAAAAAGTGCAAATATTTTCTCTTAAGTAATTTTTCCTTAGAGAAATGTTGACATTTTCTAAAAGTAAAGAGTATTGTCTTATTATGAGTCTAAAAATGAGATAAGCCCTTGACCTAAAGTTCTTAACTGCCACTTGTGTGAGAACAATGCTTCCATTATATTACAGATTTTATAACAGTCACTCACCTATGTGACCTTTCAATTAAATTATTGGAGCTCATTCTAATTCAGGATTTCCCTGAAGATCACTTGAATGTTCATCCCGTTCAGAGGTTCCCATGCATCTCATTAAACATTATGACCCATCAGGAACGTGTGTTGCTGGCACACCAACATCAGCCCTGAGATTCTGATTGCTTTTGAGAGCAATCTGTGGAATTAATTTACCTGTATGACTTAGTCGTGTTAAGGGGTTCATTCAACATCTGTTGGGTCATCTTTGCTGGAGACATTTTCTATCTGAAGAAATTTAAAAAGTATTCCTAATGATACTTAATTCTTTGGATTCTAATTTAGGCAAACATGAGGTGTAGTGCTCATAAAATGCCTCATCTTTGAGATTTGTTCAGTTTAACAGCCTACAGAATATCAATATATCAGAAATGAAGTAATTTTCAGCTTTTGCCTCTCAGAAGTTATCCATTTGGAAGCAAAATTAAATAGTTTGAAGATGATTAATCTAGTTAGTTTTCTCTGGAGCATTCAACATGAACAACAATCCGTTACTTCTTGATATTTTCCCCGTTGGCCTCAGTGGCACCTATTGTTGGGATCCGTGTGTTCCCTAAACAAAGGAATGAACACACAAGACAACACAGGATGAGACAAACATGGCAGCCGCCCCGAACGACACGCTCTGCTTTATTTTATACAGTCATTTGTGGAATGTTGCCAAGTCACAAGACACATTGTTGTTTTTCTGACTGTTCCTGACTTTCTGGATTTTGAAGATGTTTACACATAAATCAGCCCCCAGGGTCTGCTGTTTGCAGCTGGCTCCTTTGTCCTCCCTGTTTGCAGGGAAGGAATGCCCTGCTTCATTTGCAAGAGCAGGACTTATCGGGAACGTCTTGTTTGCGAGTACGTAGTCCTCTACACCTATTCTCTGTCACTTGGTTGTAAAAATGTCTGTTCCTATTTAGTGTCCTGTTTCTTTTGCCTGACCCTGAATATAGTCTTCCTTGTCTCCTTGTCTGTTTCCTCTATAATATCTCTCAGGCTTTATTTGTTCCTTTATGGATAGTACCGCCAAATCTGGGTAGCTTAATCTCTTAGAGTGCCTCATTTCTTCCAGTGGAATGGTAAAATTATAATCATTATAGGAGATATTATATGTAAAAGACTTAGAAGAATTACCAGTTCATAGTACATGTGAGACTGCTTTCTCTTCTCTATATCCCTGACCTCCCTCTTGAATTTCAGACTTTCATTTTCAGACATCAGCTAGATACAGCTAATGGCCTCAGGGCAAAAATAAATATTCTTAACTTGTTCCCTCTGCTCTCAAGTATTCTCTAAATAAATGGCATTACAATTTATCTGCTAGGTGTAAAACATCCAAGCCATCTTTATTTCCACTCTTTTCTTTTCCGTTACCTTCTGCACCCATTTGGTTCTTGTCTACAATATTATCAGGTCCACTCCCCGCTATGTACTTCTCACTGATATCCCATAGTACTAAAATTTTGTGTTTGCAAAACTTTGCTTAGCTCTCTATAGTTTAAAAAGATATTATGAAATGAATACATCACACTCCTATTAATCTTTTCTTGCTGAGTCAGTCAAGATGAACTTGTTTATGGCTCAGGAGCAAGCTCATCCAGAAGTTCTTGGAGTACATATCCAGGGTGAGACAGTAGGGGATCTCTGCTCATTGTAGATACCCAGGGACTCAGGCTGACAAGGCTACATCTCAGCAGTTTCTCCCACAGTCACTAAAGCAGTGGGAAGAAAACATGGTAAATTACAAACTGACTCTTAAAAATGTATGTAAGAAATGGAACACATTACTTCTTGCATTATTGGCCAAAGAAATTCACATAGACTCTCATAACTTGAAAAGGGATGGAGAAGTGCAGTCCTACCATGTGTATTTAAGAGCTGGAATATTTCTGAAGTCTTAATGACTATAATCTGGTGATTACAAAGATCAGCACACTGTTTTTGTTGACCTTCCCTTTCCTAAAACTCTTTACAACACAATTTTTTATTTTAATCCTATTTTTAAAATCTATGTACTTCTTCTAACGCCTATCATTGTCTACACACCACGTTACTTAATCATAACATGAAGTGTACTCTTTCTTTTTGCAATGAATAGAATTTCATGTAGATTTTGGCATGTAACTAATTATTTCATTTTTAAAAATATAGTTGGCAATATACTATTCTATTTCACAGTTATGTTGTAGATGACTTAACCATTCTTTAACTTCTGGACATTTGGATCATTTCAAGCTTTTTACTCTTAGTTTATACAACATTTATAGAAAGGACTATAAAGAGTTGCACTAATTCCAAAGATTATACTGGCAAGTCAGCCTTACGCAAATACGAGAAATTACCCAATATCAAAGTCTACTAATAATTTCTAGAAGCACAGATGGAGCAGTTTAGGGAGTTTAGGGACATTGATGACAACTGCCCAGTCCTTCTTTGCATTAGACACATGCTTTCTGACAGAAAGACAGATAAAGTCTCTAAGTATAGTACTTGAGTTACCAAGCATACAAGGGAATATTGAGGTAATAAACTGTCTTCATATAGCTGTGTAGCTTACATAACATTTTCCATGGAGCTATACCTTATAAATCCATAGATTGTAAATACATTCATTTACCAGAAACAGTCCTAAACTAGAGACATCCTACTGAAAACATTCATAGGTAAGGATTCTCCTCCTAGCGTCAATTTGGTAGCAGGTTTAGTTGTCAGCTTGTTTACAAGGAATTGATACCTCTACCTTTCTTTCTTTCCCTTGGATAATACCCCTAATAACAGAAATGGATTATAATCCAGTTGTTTAACTGCTTTCTCCTAAAGACTCAAGTGGTATGTGTTTGTGAATTAGTATTTATGTTCACGATTATTTAGTTGAGATTTAAGATACAAGAAATTAAATTGTATCATTATTTTTAAAAAGGCCTGTTAAAATGTTATAAAACATCTGACTTTACCCTGCTTTATGCCTGAGTGACCTTAGGTTAGTTATATTACTATGAAAATAAGTATGCTTGTCTGTATGGAATTACTTGATAAATAATTTTCTTCAGCTATCCCGTGAGGATAAATTTCACTGTAAATCATATAGACTTGTAGAGTTCTCACTCTTTCTCCAGGAAGACATTTCTTTCTTTTTCTTTCCCATTATGACAGTGCTTTACAAGAAAGTGTTTGCTTACTATCGATGTCTACATAGTAGTCATGCCTGTCTGTTACTAACATTGGCCAAATTTGGACTTAATGTAAATTTGTCTCTTTAGAAATGAGTTTCAGTGCTATTAGAATAATTATATGACTAATTACTTTAGTTTTGTTAAGACAAATGTAATATATCACAAAATTGTGCAACAAGTTTAATAATTTGGATGTGTTATATAAAATAATGTTCCCCTGCAAAATTTGAAACCCTATCAAATATTATCACTTAAGATATGTAATAATTTAAGAAGATATGGTAATATTTTGGTATGTTTTGATTCTTGTTTCAAACCTTATGGTGTTACTTTAGGTCTGGGGATAAAGCATGCTGTATTTATTCAATTAATAATTAATATTATTTTTATGTCAAGTTTGGTTTATTGAAACAAATATATGCTTCATTGTTTAAACTCTTTACGTTTGGTAATGATTGACCCCTTAAAAAATTTAAACTCATTAGATAGATTAATAAATTAATACTCTGCTTTTAAAGAAAGATTTTACAGAGGTATCTTTAAATTCATATATAAATCATACAGTATCTATAACTCATATCCTAAATAAATTCACTTACGAAAATAAATTCCAGAACGTAGCTCTGATTGCAATCACTTGGGTTTCTTTAATCCTTCAGCCTTCTGGGGGACTTGTACCAATGCATTATTAGAACTTTTTAAAAACTCATAGACATGGGAAGGGCTTCTTTTCCTCAGTCATTAGATACTATTTGCTTTAGTTGCTCTCATTTTGGCTATAAGCCCTTGCTAACTCTACAGTTGGTTACAGAATAAATTTGCAAGGCTCCTGCTTTCCTCCATATGCCACTGCTAATGGAGCTTTAAACTCAACTGAGTTGTGATACACAGAAGCCTGTTTTTCCTTTTACTGCCCACCACTGAAGTCCCTTCAATCCCACGACATGGAAACTTTGTGTTGCAAAAATGTTTACGGGAGATTTGAGACTACCTGGAAGAAATAAGAATGACAGAACAAATAAAAAATTAACATGATCCTTAATATGACTGTTTTTCAAATGCAGGGTAAAAGAAACAGAAAGTTAAACGCCTCACATTATTTTCTCTTTGTTGGTGAGCTCCATCAAAGTCCTGTGCCTCTATCCTAGTCTCTCTGTGTCTCTTCTTTGCTTAGAAATCTGCACCTTAATTCAATCCTTCCATTACAGAGCTCCTGCTTTTGGTTAATAGTGACATCTACCTCAGTATAAGAGACGAAGTTCATTACAAAGTATTGTCAGGCAGAAAACCATCTCCCAGAATGTACTCACTTTGGGTTAGATCACGTTTTGAGGTCAGTTGTTTTCACTTTGCTGATGTTTAAACCTTTAAAATATGCAAAAATAGTATAAATATTTTCTATCCTGTGTCCATAAGTAGTTAGTAAAGGAGAGGATGGTTATATGTCACTGTAAAGGAAAATAGGACAAAAGCAAAAACAAATGTAAGTCAACAAACTAAGATGAAATTAGGGTGAAGTCTCAGCATAAAAGATTTGCACAGTCCTAGCATAGGCTCTTCTGATAAAGATGAACCAGGATTTGGCTCTACATTTCTTTCTTAAGGGCTCCTACTGTTTTCAAAATATAAAAGATCCTAAGAAACTAGGAAACTTCATTACCTACCCACTAGAACAAAGGCTCCTTCAGAAGCAAAATCAATTAAAGTTGCAATTTGTTCTTTATACAGAGGTCTTAATCTCCTATCAAGCAAGCTAGGAATTGATTATTCTGGAAATCTTATAACCCAGGCAATCTCATTCCATCTTAGAAACCTTAATATCTTTGGTGACCAATAAAACTGAAAGAGGTTTGGCTAGGGATCTTCTTCACTAATCCCCATTCTCATACAACTCTTCTTGCTCTGGCCAGATCCAAATGTCTGCTGCTTACATTTTTTATGACATGTAAGAACCCATTTCATAATATACAAATTCCATGACATGCTGCACATATTATTAGGAATCTTCCTTTTCTTAACACAGTATTTCCAAAAATACATGCTAATAGCTGGTTGTCATGAGACAACTTTAGTTGGTAGACAAACAAGGCATCAATAACCTTGGATGACATAGTGAGAATTTTACTTCATTGCTAATTCTGCTTTACTCATTCTGATCACATCAAGAACAATAGCTGAGTATGTTAATCCTTAAGACTCTTTAAACTTGTTATAAATATATACACAGAATATTTAATGTATATAGGCATATATATGTCTTCACTATAGCACTGCTTGTTTCAGATCTAGATTTAATTATGTTTCTTAAAATACATCTGTCTTGGATCTCAGACTTCCAAATCCTACTCTTTCAGTCCCTTAAAGGCTGACCTTTCTTCCGTTACTAGCCAAGACCAAGAATTCTATCATCAATAGCACTCTCTTGCACACATTTGCATATTTCGTTATGTTTTCTCTCTCTCTCTTTTTTTTTTTTTTTTTTTTGCCTTGACCCACATACGACTAGAAAACATCTAACCTTGCAGTAATGGTATCATCCTCTTTCTCTGCTAATCACACTGGAAGAAATGCCACACTATGCAGAGATTGGTACCATTAGAGTTTCCTAGTCTTCAATGCTGTCTAAATATTAACACTACCTACAAGTCCTCTGATTGCCTACTCAGATGTCATGCTCCATAGTTGTATTTAAAATGTTTCTACTTCCTTTCCTATTACACTACCTCCTACTATCCTTTGCACTGTTGAGGCAGATATATACTCTTTAGAGGAAATAGAATCTATCCCCAGTAATTCCATCAAGTAGCTAATCCTACACTTCTAGTTTATATGTATTCAATCAGCCATATCTTGCTTAAATGTCTTAAATGACCTCCCCTTACCTTCATCATAAAGTGTAACTCCTTAATCTGCCTAGTGAGGCTTATGATAAACAAGCTATGCAAATCTTTCTGGCTTTCTCACCTGCCACTTCCCCTCTTGCACTTCATGGTGCAGTTATATTGCATTTCTTTCAGTTCTACAAATTTAGCTATGGTTAATTTTTTTTTTTTTTTTTTTTTTTTTGAGATGGAGTTTTGCTCTGTCGCCAGGCTGGAGTGCAGTGGAACGATCTCAGCTCACTGCAACCTCTGCCTCCCGGGTTCAAGTGATTCTCCTGCCTAAGCCTCCCGAGTAGCTGGGAATACAGGCGCATGCCACCACGCACGTCTAATTTTTGTATTTTTAGTAGAGACGGGGTTTCACTATGTTGGCCAGGATGGTCTCGATCTCCTAACTGCTTTACTTAACTTTGAGTCTTCACACATGTTATTTCCCTCTTCTGTCTGAAAACCTCTAACTCATCTTCCTAAAAAGCCAACTTTTATTTGTTCTGTAAACCTCAACTTTGGATGCTAATTATTCTAGGATGTCAAACCCAAGTTTCCAATGTTGGATTAGGCATTCCTCTTATGTCCTCCAAGAACTCTCTGTATTCACTGTACATGGACACTCATTTCGTAGTATTGAAGTTGCTTATTTATTTGTCTGTAATCTCCCTTGGCACATAGGATTCTAGAGGCCATTGACTAAATATGTTGATATTGCTTATTATACTCAGTGTCTCGCACATGGCATGTACTTAATGGTGTGCTGATGTTCAAATGATGTTATAAGACCGTAATGTCTAAGAGAATATGTGGGACCGGTTGCTCATGAGAAACAAAACTATTCTTGTCCTGAAATTTAGAGATCCTAATCCTTGGGTCCCGATTAATATAATTCCTTACTTCTTTGTGTAGGAACCATACTGATATTCTCTGTATCATTCCAATCTTAGTATATGTGCATCCAAAGCAAGAACTTAATTCCTCAGTAAAAATGCATGGTATTTTTCCTAGTCTTATTTTGTAGGTCAATATTGCATTTCTTTCAGTTCTACAAATTTACAAAAATACAGTGCTATAAAAGCATTTTCTTATGTGTCAAAATGATCCTGTGACATGGCCAACTGCTGATCTGGAATAATGTAGGACTAATTCCAGACTTTGATCAATATTGAATAAGTTTAAAGTTTTATTCCTAGCAGAGATAAATTTAATTAACAAAGATGTGTTGAATGCATCATTACCAAGCACTTGAGATATATCAGTGAACAAAACAAAGTTCTATGTCCTCACATCGATTACATTCTACCATGGGAGACAGACAATAAACAACAACACAGCACAGGGGAGAAACACGACAAACAACACACAACACAAAACATGACAAATAAATTACATGCTATGTTAGAAGGCGTTAAAGCCATTGAGAAAACAAGATCACAATAAGAGAGAAATAGAAATATTGGGATTGGACTATGGTTGCCAATTTTAAGTAGGACTCTTCTGGTTAACCATTGTTTTGAAAATGATTTTGAGCAAAGGTTTAGTAGAGGTGAGAGTTAGAGGAAGAGCATCTCAGGGAGAGGAAACAGCCAGTTCCCTGTAATCAGAGTTTCTAGTGCAGAAACCTGATTGACATGTTCATCATAGCAACAAGGGCCGTGGAGACCCAAATCATTTCTATTTTTTTGCAAAGTAATATCAATAAATCATTTATTGTGTATATTCATCTGTGTTTCCGGAGTTTATGGCCTTACAGCATTTTGAAGGTAGAGGCAACAACATTTCTTAATGTGTTAGATGCAGGGTGAATGCATACAGACCCTTATGCTCCAAGGGACAGCATAGGCACAGGCATGAATGTCATGCTCTTATAAAAATTGAAAGGTCTGACAAGCACAGGTGTCTGAATCAAAGACTGCACTTTTTAGCCCAGAGGTGGGCTTAGGTAGCTCCTGTGAGAAGAGCTAAATTTCTCCTTGAAATTTCCCAAGTTGCCCTCTAGCATATAGATCAAAGAGAATTTGGAACCTTCAAGTTCTATGACATAAAGCTTCTTCAAAATTATTTTATCTAAAAAAATATTACATCAAGTGTAATAGAATTCCTACTGTGGTCATCAGGGCAAGTCTCATTCTTCATCCAGAAGATATTTAATCTTCAACAATATGGTTATCCTTCTAAGCCCAAATTACAGTCATTCTTTGCTACTCGCCAATCTCCTATTAGAATTCAGCACATCTGTAGAAACTATCAGAATGTCTTGTACAATCAAGAAAAGATATTATTTAGCTGCTTCTTTGGAAATTACCAAGTGTACACGTTTGTAACTGATTTTTTTTTAAAGACTGAATAGACAATCCTAAATCCCTTTACTTCATTGTTTCTGACCTACTTCAGTTAGGTCACACACAAAAAATCACATTAAAAACTGTACGGATCAGGTAGAAGACAAACATTCAAACACTTCTAGTAAATTATTTGTTCCTCTGAAAATCTTTTACACTTGATAACACTGATCTTAAAGAGGGACAGTTCAGACCTACTATATTTAAGTAGCATAATAACTTCTCTAATTAATATTTATAGTAACTTCTCTAATTAATTATTTAAGATATTTATTGACAAAAGACTTCTCTATTACATATTATTTCTCTGTACTCTAATGGCCTTTCATATAATAGAAATCGTATTGGTAATAAGAAAAGAGAGTGGAAAGAAATAACTGAAGTTGTCTTGTACTGAAGATGTGAACCTCAGCTTTTTTGTCCATCCAGATAGTGACATTGTGATCATTTTAATCAGCATATTTTACTTGTATCATGAAAACACTATAAATATTAAATCACAGTGTAGTCAAACCTAGATTATTGCCACTTCTTTTAATGACTCTGTGACTATATTCTGTGTAGTATTAAAAACAGTGTCAGTGTCCAAAGACAGTGATATTAAAGTGTAATTTTTTATCATTTCAATCAAACCGAGGGGATCTAAAATGTCTAATAACTTTCATGAAGGAAGCCTTACTGTTTTAAGAGCTACAGTCAATCTGTAACAAAATTTCCTACAAAGTTGTCAGTAGGCATGATTTCTTTTATAGAAAATGTAGTGAAATTGCCCATCTATATTCATGTGATTAATGTAACATGGAATTTACAAATTTAAATGCATAATGCTGGAAAAGTAGAAATAAAGATTTTTATAGTAACACAAATCTGTGCTACATACAGTTAATATATTCATGGATTATAAAATGAATTGTGTTCAATAACTCAACATTTTTAATTGGGTTTGCAATGATAAATTGTTACACACATTTTTAAGTGGATTTTCAGACTTCTCAAATATTTGAGTCTACATTTTCATGTCTACTAGGAAGCATACAGAGAAATTTTTTACACAAGGAATAATTTTATTTCTAAATGACTTTCTGATTTTTTCTTCCACACATTGCTTATCCCTGTGGGCAAACCTTTGTAGAAATTTTCTCATCCTAAGAGTAAAGCAGTTTAAACTGGCTTTTCTAGTCAGATTGATCTTAAAGGAATCAGTTTTAGATGTATAATCAAGCAAATGGACTT